GTTTAGGGTTTAGGGTTTAGCACACTCACACGGCAGTCCGAACATTTTGCCTCTGGTTCGGTTCTGCTGGACTCTCCGCCCTTCAAAGGTACATTATCGCAGAGACACGGGTGTCTCTGAGCCTACGATGTCGAGCATCGACTTCCATCAATCCTCTGCCAAACGTGCTTCCTGGGATACATATCAAGCATCATACTATAGTGGAGGTATACACGGACTATGACGAGGGGGGTTTGGTAGTGGCAACAGCACGGTACCCTGTCGTAGCAATGCCTGTGAGGATGCATTACATCACAATCCGCGAACTTAGCACGACAGCAAGAGCTCTGAAGCGTAGCAAACACTCGAGACGTTTGCAGTCTGTACCTGTACGCCCCGGACTTGGAAAAACGGCACGAACTCTTCGCGGAAGAATCGCTCCGCCTCTTTCCGGCATGCTGCCTTCGAGTTGCCTTCTGGCATGCGGCAGAGCCACAGGAAAGAGAGGGCGGATGTACCGGAAACTATGCAACTTCGAGGCCTCCTCATGGTAAGTCCAGCGCAGAGAAGTGCAAAAGCTCCTGTAGTTGCCAGCTTCCTTAGCAAGCTGGGCTCAGTCCCTTGCAGCTTCTCGTTCAGCTTCTGCACCAAGCTGCGGAACTCATCTTCTTGTATACGATACTGCAAGCTTGTAGGCATCTCCACCGGGAACTGGAGGGAGAACAGTCCGACTTCCTCCGTCCGCTCGACTCGCACAGACTGGGACATCGTCAGCCTTGACATCGAAGAGTCCCCTCTCCTCAACGGCCGTGGCGTAAGCTCCGTAGCGTCCCTGTCCCTCTGCTCTTTGAGCTCCGGGTGCTTGGCCAGGAAACTCTGGACCTCTCGCCGCTTGTCCCAGTTGGGGATCAAGGTGGCATTCTGCAAAGGTACATTCGTCAGGGGATCAGAAAGGTTCTCCTGTTGATCCCAGTAGGCCACAATAGCGGCCCTTTCATAGGTGTTCCCAGACATGGCCACGACCGGATCTTCATACAAGGCATGAGTAATTGGGCAGCAGAGGTGAGGCGGCTCCTGTGGCTCTGCCTTACCTCCCGGCTCGGGAGCCGCCTTCGTGTCGCCCATCAATAGCCCGCAAAAGCCAAGAACAACACTCGGAATCACCTTCAGAGGCTGGAGACCCGAGCAACAAGCCTCTACGGCACTACGGAACTAGGTTGTTTCTGATTGGAAGTTCGAGCTTAAAGATGATTGAGGGCTGTTGGGGGAAGACCTTGCTACTTGCCTTGGTCTCTGATGTGCGTGAAAGTGAAGCTACGGTCTGCATGAACGGACCCGACCCATGCGGACGTTGAGGGCTGAAGGTCTACAGCGGCACGGCGTTGCATTCAAAGCGAAACTCTCGCTAAGAAGCTACTCCAAGCCCTAGGCTATATGCCCGTGTTTTCCGCTAACCTGAGCACTCCTTTCCTGTTATTTAGAAGGAACCCCCAAAACCAGAAGGGCACACGAGCGATATCTGAAGTCCTAAGCCATCCCCAGACGGGTCCTTCATCGCGGCACATGCCTGGGCGGTCCGACATCTGCCCTCTCCGAGCCCCAAAGCCCTACACCCCAAACTCCTAAACCGGAACCCCAACTTCTATATACCCTAAACCCATTCCCCTAAGCCTAGGCCCTAAATCTCACCCCCTAAACCCTAAACGCTAAACCCCTAAACCCTCAACCCCAACACCTCACCCCCTAAACCTTGAACCCTGCGGGCGAAACTTCTGCTCGGAGTCCCCGACATCAGCAGCCGGGAGTGCTCTGAAGGGATGCTCATCGAAGTTTCGCAGGTCGGTAGGGCCTCGCTTCATATGGGTAGTTCTCTAAATTTGGGTCCCTTTTTAGGTCCCCATTATAGTACGGCACCCTTATAAAAGGGACCCCCAAAAGGACCCTAATTTAGAGAACTACCCATATGGGGAGCTACATGATTAGCATGGTTTTCTGGTGTGGTTCCTACTTCTTAAGGAACTAAAACTTAAGATTAGACACCACTTCCCAGTCTTCAAACAAGGGTGTTGATTTTGACTGTGGGTGCGGCTGAGTGTCTCAAAGAAGCTCAGGGCTCAGGCACGGCAGGTAAAATAGGGGCCGGAATAAATCAACTAGGGTCTTGGGATATATCACACTTTACAATACAATAAGGAAGCCCCAAAGTGGCGTTGGGAATTACTGAAGCTTCTATATTATGGAGTTGCTTCGCCTTTAGTCTACTTGCAACTCGTCCGGCCTTGTGGCGGAGCTGTGACGAAGCTAGCGGTCCACTCAACACGGTTTGGTTGTGCGGGAACCGGTGCGGCCAGAGATATCCCTTACACGAAGCACAGGAATCTATTATCAGGAAGGTCGCAGTCAGATACTCTCACATTGTGATCGCCATCAATTGCCATCAATGCAACATCAAAGTAGCATACTCGAAGGCAGAGACGTGCCCCAACAGAATGGACAACTTCTGTGACGAAATGTTCGCGCCACCAACGGCATCATTATCATCATCATCATCATCATATCGCCACCAGCATGGTTGCTGCTTCCAGTACGGAAGAGGTGTCGCCAACACTACGGCCGTGTACTCCTGGTGTCGGACATTAGTAGGTGCAATGTATACTTCTGATCAATAATCCCCCCTTCCCGACCAAGGATAAACACTGGCATCCTTATTATCAGCCCTTTGAAGAGCTGCAATCCGGGGACAACTAAAGCCGAACCTGCAGAAAAAGGCGAACACCTTAACCTTACACCCGAAACCCTCAACTCACAACTCTAAATAAACCCCAAACCATCAATTTACAAAAAAACTAAACCCTGAGAATGGGGGCGGCCCCTGGCCTGAGAGCTCCGGCTTGAAAGGAGGATCCATCAGATGAAGCTGCCTCGGAGGACTGCTGCAGTGTATACGGATATAGGGTTGAGGGCTTCAGGGTTTAGGGTTCAGGGTCTAGGATAGGCTTTCCTTCTTAATAAGCTACTGGGGGAAATGGATCCCTATGACAGTCCCTGGCGGACTGCTGTAATGCAGGGGCCTTGGTAAGTAGATCAGGGTTTTTGGGCACGCTCTAATGCGGAACCAGTCAGTAGGGGGCCTGAAGAAGTGGAATAGGGATTCGGGGAATGCTCTTTGGTTCTTAGTAGGGAATGGGTGTTCTGGTTTAGACTTGTTGGAACTTGGCTCTAAACTTTGTGGTTTACGGTTTAGGTGTGTTGGCTTTTCTAAGTTTTGGCGTTTCAGCTTTGACTTCAGGGGCTTGAAGTTTACTGTTCAGGGTTGGGGTTTAGGGCTTAAGCTTTCGTGTTTCGACTTTCAGGCTTAGGGGAACTCCGAGAACCCTTCCATAGAACAGAAGAAGCTTGTCAAGCAACACAGGTTCAGTTCGAATCATCGGAGCTGGGGCTCTAGCGATATCAATGTTTTATGACAGGCTTTATTCTGATAAATGTTCAAGCGTTGCAAACGGATCTGTAATGCTTTAACGCATAGACTCGTCTTGCATCAGGGACAAGGTGCCACGCTGTGGCGCCTTGAAGACCCCGGCAAGAGTTGGTTTTATTGCTCGACAAAGCATGCCAAGGGCCTCGCTGGAAGTTGAGGCCGCTAAAGAAGGCGTGGCTCTTGCATTCCCTGGCACTTCGACGTCCACGTTCCCAAGGTATTGGGATTGGGGTCTCGGGTTTGGGGGTTCCAGGGTTTAGGTTTAGGGTTTTCAGGTGTGGGGCTTCAGGCTTGCGGCTTGTGGTGCATGAGAGGCTTCCTGAACCGTTCTTTGCCCCGCTCGCACCACCTAAACCCTGATACCGAAATTGTAACCTAACCTAGCAGAACCCTATTCCCCAAATGCTCGTTACAATTCCTACACGGTCCTATACTCTGAACCCCGAAGCCTATAGACTCCAACCCTTGGGTTCGGGACTCCCCGCACCGTTTGCCCCACAGAGTAGAAATACAAAACCGACCGGTCAAAACCGCAAGATAACCGCTGACCTGAACGCTATGCCTAACCCAGTCCAGTCCAGCCCCCACGCACAGAGGAGCAGCTTCTGTTTCAGCGCTGTCTCCGGGCGCGTGTTATAGCGAAGGCGCCCAGACTCCACAGCACATTGGCCCGATGGAGCTCTGGGGTTCGCGCTCGTCTTGGGAGCGGGAGACATCTCTTGCAGTGGCACGAGCTAGGGCAGAAGCGGGAAGAAGCATTACCAACCCAAAGCTTTCCGCAGTTGCTCTTGGACTGGAGCTACGAGGTATTTGCCGCGTGTGATGTGCACGCATTCGAGTCTAGCAGAAAGGTCTAAAACTCCCGGCCCATGCAACTCCTCTTCTGGTGCTAAACGAAATGCGCACCGACGCAAACAGAGCTTGAATGTTCCGAAGGTCGTTTAAATACGTAGCCCAACACAACCTCACAGTAAGCAGAGCATCAGTCATCTACAACAACGTAAGCCCCTTCGCATGGCTGCCGGGAGACCCGGTACTCTACATGAACTGCCGTCAAAACTCCGCTGGCATCACTCAACGCAAAGCTGATGAAGATCTACGCAGTCCCTACATGGAGCCTTGTGACTTGCAGCTCAGAAAGCGAGCTGGACATCCTCAGTGACAGAGGCCATTGGAGCAAAGCGCCACTCTGTCAAGTGCCGCTCTCGCCGGCGCTTGTCCGCCTCCAGAGATGAGACGGGGATACAGGATGTCCACCGTGGCATCGTTGCAAATCTGTGTTGATGATCGCTCCCATTAATCCCCTTCGTCTTCATGTGCAACCGCATTGGTCGGATCATTGTCTGTTGCTCAGAGTAGCTGAAAACATTGAGTCATGACTGTGATCCTGCAGGAGTCAGACAGCTATTGTGGGAAGGGCGAATAGGATGGATGCCTTTAAGTCTGCTGCTCATCCTTCCGTTGCCAATAACGAAATGTGGCCCCTAAAGATCTCAAGCGTTGGCGGGCATCTGGCTTTTGTGTGTGCGGGATTGAAACGTCTACATGTGTCTTGCGGGCCTGCAGTGCCATGGTCGAGCGCTGGGCTTGATGAAGGTAGCGGGATGGCTTCTTATCCCTTTGAGCGGCGAATTTCTACCACGAGCCCCAACTCAGAGTACAGAGACTTGCTGTAGCCGGAGGGCTACGAGATCTGCGTATCCCTGGGAAATCCAGCTGAAAGCCGTGAAATACTTGTCGAAAATTGGATACCAAGCAGTTTCTCGACAAGTTTCCTAGAGCGCTACAAGCTGCAAAGGATCAGAGCTTCGAAAGGGCGCACGCCCTCAAAATCTCGATGCAGCAATGCGCACTTGCAAGCTCAGGTCTGTCAACGACCTTGAACTCATCTCGCAGGAGAATCACAAATATCCATGGACCCCTGCAAAGCAGGCAATGGCCTTCTTGGCCTTCTTCGGAAGCATGCGCTTGCCCTTCGAGGCGGGGAATCCCAAAGGACCGATGCGATCTGGCGAAGCTCGGGGATTTGAAGTGCTTAAAGCTGCTTCGATGTTGGACATGTTGCTAGCATCATCCATCGCAATAAAGACTTGCTTGCTATTGTTTGAAAATTTGGCCGAAGAGATCTGGAAACAAGCAACGCTGCCTCCCTGCAAAGGCAAAGGCACCTGGGATAGTTGGAGTGGAATTATGGATTTCAGACATTATTCAGCTCTGCGTCGCATCGGCTGTTGCAAGTTGATCTTCTGAGGCAATTTTCAGGCGCCTCCTAAGCCTGTGTACGGGCTTTGCAGGCGACGCCCCTGGCGGGCCTGGAATATGCTGCCAACATCACATATTGTTTGGCATGGTCTGTTTTCATCGCAATGAAGTGTCTGCCCACACACGGTTGTTAGCTTCCTTTGCTTACCATCCGCCACAACTACATCCAGGCTTTCGATACGACAACAAAAAAAGGCCCAACGAGGTCTTTGAAAGTGAACTGCTTGTACGAAATTTCGTAGGACACAGCCAGCCCTGAAGGAGGTTGCCTGGGGGCGTCATGCAACTGCTGCTCTTGAGTCGAACTAAGCCACAACCAACCAAATCGCAGGCGGGCTGCAGCCGGAGCCACGACCACTGCAGCATGCCTGGCAAGAGCGCAACT